CCCCAAAACCCCAAAACCCCAAAACCCCAAAACCCCTAATTTATTGCCAAGACTTGAAATTCTTTTAAAATTTACTTCTTCCCCCACTTTGCCTTTGATTGGGATTTTGTCTGCATATTTAGAGCTACAGTCGGTATTTTATGTAGCTTCGGTGCAGGACAGTGTAGCATCGGCAAACCAGGAAGAGCTGGCTTGTGAGCCTTACTTTGAGTCTTTGTCTCAGACTTGGGACTGGCTTTAAAGACTATATTTAAAGTTAGAAGATCAAGGAAAATGTGTGTGAAGAATTTTAAAAATTCTAGAAAATAATTATTGTCAAAGATAGTTTACTCATTTTTGGCTTAACAGCAAGCATTGAAGAAACCTGGTTTAAACTCATCTTTGGGGAAGCTTGCTCTTTCTATAAAACATAATTTGATACCCTAACTTTAACGATTTCTGACTGAATTCTTTCGGCATCTTTCAGGCTTGCTACTTCTGGATTAATGCTCTTTTTTGTACCATTTTTGGCCTCAGATCCTTCTTTCTTTTCTTCTTCAATCTGAGAAACCTTGCTTTGCAGTCCTCTAGAGATTACTTAAGTGATTACTCTCTGAGTTTAGCCAAAATATTATCACTCTTGTTATTATTTGCTTGATCTATGAGCTCCTGAAACTCTGGGTTTATCTTCTGTTTGGCTCTGGTCATGATATCACCCTAGACTGCTAAGCTGACTAAATTACCAATTCTGGAGCGAATGCAATAGATTTTGTAGTAAAAAGTGTATGGGAGACCCCTGTGGCTCCTGCTCTGCCAGTCCGGCCTATTCTGTGCACATAGGTTTCAATTTTGGTAGGGAAATCGTAATTTATCACATAATTTACATCAGGGATATGGATTCCTCTACTAACCAGATCTGTAGCGATGAGGATGTTGACAAATTGGCCTTTGAACTGTCTAGAATTTAAGCAGAGTTATTTACCTCACGATTGACTCTCTTTCGTCTTGTGGAATATCTCCATGCATTACAATATTGCTACAGTTGTATTTTCCCAAGGCTGAGCTGAGATCTTGGCACCCTTGCTTCGTTCCACAGAAGATGATTGTTTTTGAACCAGGGGCAATTTTACATAAAATGTCAACCAATTTGCTCAATTTTTCAGATTCTTGGATAACATAGATATTTTGAGTGATTCTGTCATTCACTGTAAGGTCGTTCGAGCCTATTTTGATTTCTTTTGGAGTTTCGTAGCAATATTTTTTGGCTAACTGTTGGACACCGATTGGCCAAGTAGCACTGAATAATAAAGTTTGCCTATCCGGTCTTATTTGTGTTGATATTTGTTTGAGATCTTTCTCAAATCCCATATCAAGCATTTTATCAGCTTCGTCCAGGACAAGATAGGTGATTCTACTAAGGTTCATTTCTTTAGTGGTGAGAAAGTCTAAAAGTCTTCCTGGGGTGGCAACCATGATATCCACACCTCTTTGATAAGTCTGAAGTTGCTCTGTTCTAGAAACACCTCCGTAGACACACATAGTTGAGACTTTGCAAACTGAGGCGAATCTTCTGCATTCCTTCTCTACTTGGGTGCATAGCTCTCTGGTTGGAACAATAACTAACATGATAGGACTGTCTCCAGGTTGGACGAGATCTTGTGCCATAATATGAACAATGCCAGGAAGTAGGTAGCACAATGTTTTGCCAGATCCCGTGTCTGCAATACCTACTAAATCATTACCTGATTGAATTATAGGCCATCCCTTGCTTTGGATTGCAGTTGGTTTCGTAAATCCTGCTCTTGTCATCTCTTCCTTAAGGTATTTCGGGAATTGGGCATCTTTGAAATCAGTAATAATAGCGGGTTTTCCTACACTGTCAGATGCCTAAAACATGGAAATGAGATTATAACATAAAGGAGAGATTCTACAGTAAAAAAGTTCTTCTTGATCGGTTCGAGGGTTGAGAAGTCCCACTCAACTGGTTTTAAGCCCCTCTTGTCTCCAAAATCCATGGTTCAAGTTCTTCTTTCTTAAATTTTATAAAAAATTTCAAGATTTTGCTTATAACTTGGGGTTTTGGGGTTTTGGGGTTTTGGGGG